GAGAAATAAACGCGTTTAAGTTTGGAATTGTCCGTGGTTCGTATGATCCCGATTGACTCGCTAGTTATAGAAAATAAGTTTGAAGTAGTAATAAATTTCAAAAAAAAATATGTGTAAATTTACAATCAAATGAAATAAATCATCTTAGTTGACGCGGCTATAGTAGCAGAGCACTAGCACAAAGTAGCACCAGAAGTATGAGACTCTTGACCCATATTGATAGCCCGTTGAGACCTGCAATATGGAGAGAGAATATGGCCACACCCTCTAAAATTGCATACTTTTGAAAAGTGTGCACGAAATAAGGTGGACCATAACGTAACAAAAAACTCAATAAAAGATTTTGAATTCTCCCACCCATCCGTGTATATCATTTTTCTCAGTTTGCAAACCTTTCTTATCGCACACAATTATTCCAGAGAAAAACGAATAAAAAAATGCACACTCAAAATTCTCTCTAGTTTGACTTTCTCGTCTGACAAAAGAGAGAAATCAACTTACCATCATTTATTAAATCATTGTTTAATCCACATTTAGTATGTTTCGAACATTCCGTTTTCATTCTTTTCGTTGGAGTTTCCGGACATCTTAATGATCCCGGTGTCGATTTTTTGGAACTGGATTCAATAAAAATGGGATGCTTCGAATCTGGCGGATCATATTTTCTATCATTATGATATTTACTATCCTTAAGAGATTCAATAATTGCAGATTGGGGTTTTTGCTGTCGTTTAGAACAATCTTCTTTTTCGAGCTCGATTTCATAGGTTCCATTTTCTGGAATTTGGTGACCTTGATATTGAAATTTTCGTTCTTCGAAATTGGGACCAATTTCAGTTCTAAAAACGATATGAGGTTGTTGAATATGCTGCTGAAAATATTGCTGTTCTAAACGCTGCTGCTGTTCCAAAGAGATCAGCTGTTGCTGCTGTGCTTCAAGTTCTTTCTGATTTTCTGTAAGTTGGTTTTGCGCATAAATATTTGGAAGCGACTGCTCCACGTTCATCATCGATGACGAAAAGATCATTGACGAGTCAGAAGGTCCCGATGAAGATGAATGAAGTGGTGAACTGCTATTTGACCGTTCCGAAGAATAACTTGCCGCTCTTCCCGAAAAATCTTCAAATGATTTCTTGGGGATAACTTCATCTTCCTCGATGCTAGACAAGGACGAGACTGGACTATGAGGAACCTGTTGATTATTAAGCTTAGAAGATGAGTTAACGGCAATACTAGTCCAAAATGCGGGTCCATTCTGATGAGCATATCCGGCACCACTGCAGGATGCCGGATTTTGTAAAGACAGTTGTTGAGATGGATCTTGCTGATAATGGACGTTCGACAATAAAGATTCTACCTTTAGCATATTTTCTTTTATTTTTATTTGGATTTTAATTAAGTTGGTGAGTTTGATGACGGATGTTCTAGCCGAATGTCCGTGAAAAAAAAAATAGAATTGATTTTTATCTCCTGAATTGGAAATAAAAAGAGAGTGAACGTTAATTAGGATGGGATAAGAGAAGATTTGTTTGTTTTTTGATGGTAGAATACTATTGTGATCGTATTTTAGGTTTTTCTTTGGCTTTTTTGGGCAAAAAGTAGAACACCAACTTCAGGCGAATGATGTTTGCTGAATTTCCTTTTATCTTGTTCTTGTTGTGGTTGTTGTGGTAAAGTGAAGTGATGAAATTGAAGGTGAAAGTTTTTATCTACAAAAAGGATCCGTTGATATATGACATGGTGTAAAAAGAAGCGAGATAAGATAAAGGATTAAAAAAAAATAGTTAAGTCAGCTGCAAATCTGACAAGAATTAATTAATTGTAGTGGTGATGGTTGATTAAAATATGAAAAAGGATATTTTTAAAGTAGAATAATATACGTGGTGTGGGCGTGTGAAAATACTATAATAAACGTTGAAAAATGATGGAACTTGTAGAGAAAAAGAAAAGGTGGGAAACGACGATTTATTTATACGCAAAATGATATAAAATCAAAAAATTGAGTTTGCCTAAATTTGGGTAGCTATGACTTTTTTCACGGAGAATAGTTGCTCTAAAGCTTTTACCGATATATTAGCATGTGTCGAACTTGATAGAGTAGAAAAAGGTGTTTAAGACGTGAACGATAGATAGGACTCTTTACTTTCTACTGAATCAGAATGGACTCTTGTTTTCTGCTTTCAAGGGTGGTGGTGGTGGTGGTTGATTTCGACTTGTTTTTTTTTACTTTGTTTATTTGTTTGTTTATCTCAACTATTACAGAGAACTTGGAATACTGTCAAGTAATATGTGAACCACTGCGCTAAAAAACCTACATAAACGTCCCGAGACAATATAACAATACATAATACATTAATAAAGAGTATTATTGTAAAGTTCAAATTACGTTTTGCTGCGCTCGGCAGCTGTTAATAGTGTTGTGACGTTGACGAAGTAGTTCTTACCTCTAAACTTTTATTCGATACGGGAATAAAACTATTGTTTTTGGTCAGTGCTTTGTATTAGTAGTTATTTGCTCAAATGTCAACAAAAATAGTATCAACATATTTACCGTTTACTTTTAATATATAT